AAGCCAACAGTTTACTAAGCAGAGAGGAATTCTTAAAAGAATCAAGAGCTTGGAAATACTGTCTTGTGGGCTGTGCTATTTTTACTGGAAAGCTCTGGCCAAAACTATCTCAGACATCAAAACAAACTAGATTATGCTATAAATATTAAAAGGATTTATAGCTCTTTGTTTGTGCAATAAATTCCTGGAAAGTCCCTTGGCCTTAGTGTAAGGAGGAGAATGTCAAAGAGGAAGGACATACAGAAAGGGAAATAATTAATTTTGGACATCATGTATTTTCTTCTCATCCTACTCACTTATAGCAACTTATATCAACTTCTCACCAGACACAAATGGTCAAGAACTATGTCAGATGATATTAAGACTTCTGCATATTCAATGGGACATTCAGTGGGCTTGGGGAAGACAGTCTTATGAGAAGCTGCATTACACCTAAGAAAGCCTTTGGTCAGGTTCTGTGGAGACACATTTAAACACCTTGCTCTGCAAGAATCTACAATACCTGAACTACAGGCCTCACTTCCTACTATCATGTAATAAAATCAAACAAATCACCCAAGATGCAGCCACTAAAGTCTGGCTGATCTTTCACCTGAGTAAAAATCCTTAGTTTCATTATTATTCATCAAGTTGTGATTCACAAGGTAGAAAAAGTGTTTCTTCTTGTGTTTTGGTTTTGAGGTTTTGTTTGGTTGGGGGTTTTTTTGTTTGTTTTTGTTTTTTACAGTTTAAAATATTACAGTCCATTTGTGACTACTTGGAATTATTAACATTTACACTGGAAATATGGGAGGATTTCCTGAGAAAGATTTGTACTGAAAACAGCTAATGGGGGATGGAAGAGGAAAACCCATTATTAGGTAACATTGAGACACATGATTACTTGGGGAAAGAACATTAAATACATATATCAGTTTAGACTGTGGCATTTTCTACACCTCTCAGTAAATATTACCTGAACAAAAAAGTCCCTAAGCAAAAGTCACAATGTCTGAGGCTCATTACCTGCAAAGGCATTCCCAGAGCAAATCTAAACACATGGCAGCTTGGCCTCATCAGCAAGCACAGTCCACTGCTTCATCAGGATCTTCTTGTGTTCGCTCCACAGGTACATTTCAACAGTTCCTACTTTGGCCCATTTTTACTGAAGGAGGGCTACACTTATGGAGACAGGGGAAGGGAAACAAGCAACCAACCAAAAAATCAAAACCAAAGAAGCCCAAACAACTAACCCACTTTGCTGAAGATGGCACAGTAAATTGGACTGGGCTGTTCTCTGATTCCTTGGCGGCTGCCTAGCTGCCAAACTGTAACCCTGCATAGATGCACAGTGAACCGTTCATCCTCACCAGAGCCCAGGGAACAAACAGGAACCAGAGTCTTAAACTGATCCCAAGGGTTCTCCCAATAAATCAGCACTCTCCAGCACTAGTTTTATGCTTAATTCCTCTGTCTCCATACCCAGTTAATCAATCATGTATTTGTCTAAGAAAAGGTATCTTTGTCCTCTCCCAAAAAAATATATTGGGCTAACTCTATAACCACTTAAGGGAGAAAGTCAGTGGCTTACATTATCCTGAACAACTGAGGTGGCCACACAGAGAGGTTTAAAAAGAAATGTTTACATCTATTCTATGTCATGCTAAAACAAACACATTTCTCACACTGGCAAGAACTGGAGGACACCCAAAGATCTGGAGTTTTTACCTCCACTGAATATGTAATCCTTATTTTTCCTCCTTCTGGCAAAGTACGTGCAACAGACAGCTCCTCCCTGTTTCATATTTAGTATGTATAAAAAAGAAATCCCAACTCAAAGTAATAGTGGTTCAGTAATACTGTTTTTAAATTTGACCTTCCACTTTTGGACTAAGTCCAGAAAAACCCAAACTAAGCTTTCGGATCACTGCATGAGGCCCCATGGGAATGACACAATCTCACCACTATCACAAAAGAAGACAAAACTGATGTTTAGGGACTTGCCAGAGAGCTGGGTCTGCATTGTGCAGGCAACAGGATAAAGAGGGCATACTATTTTAAACCGATGCAGCAGCAGTGTGGGCAGTAGAATTTGGTGAAATTACATATTGACAACAGCTCTTGACTGCTTTTGTTATACGTATTACAGCTCAAGTACCATGTGTGGAACTATATATAACTACTTTGAATGACTGTTTCATATTCTAGCATCATACAAATGCAGCAGAAGTACATGCGTGCTGCACTTGTGTGAGTTGCTTTCCTTGAGAGTTACTGCCATGCAGCTGAAACAGCGTTCAACACAGCACCGACCAATATATGTAGCTTAGCCTGGCCCATCTTTCTTCATTCTACAAGCTGAGTCCTTTTGGAATGCTCTTTCTGTATTTTAGTGTAAGTCAATGGCTTTCTTGAGAGCTCTTGTCCATTATAAAAACCTTACATTCTGCAAGGTGACAAAAGCATTCATATGTGATTGCCTCAAAAAGCACATGCTCCATCACCACAGCATGTGCAAAGAAAAACTCGGGCTACATAGAAAAAAGAAGCTACAGCTGTACAGCAGGACAAAGTCAGAGTACTCCAAAGGACCTAACACTTGTTTCCAATTGTACACAAGTATTTCTAACTCACACTCTGAGGTGGTGCACTAGGACGTAGAGTGGAAGCTAGGAGAAGTAGCACTTATTTAAGTGCAGAAAACACAAGCAACACAAACAACTAACACCTTCCTTCAAGATACCAATCCTGCTGGCAAAGGCATTTCTGCATATGCATGCACACAAGAGCCCTGCTGTCCATCATGTGTAAGATATTCCCAAAATTGACTGATGAATGCAGAAAAACTCCCAGGGAAGCAAAAAAAGGTTTGAGCTCAGTCTAAGTTGAAGCCTGATGAGGTGTTTAACTTGGTTTATTCAGGATGTGGCTGCAGGTATAGAGCAGTTTGTGAAGGCTGTCTGCTGGCAATGTAATAAAATAGGACATAAGATTTGGACAAAAAAAATATGCAAGAAGAAAATTCTTTATCCTCTCCAATTATAAAACTAGTCTTCATCATCTGTTTCCTCGTTTGGCTAAGTTTTAGATTTTTATTTTTTCCTCTCTTTCTGTTCAATGAGCACACACCTTCTGGAATATGTTGTTTTTAAAACAAGCCCTGCTTATGAGGAAGAAAAGGTTAATTGATTAGCATAAAATTAGTATAATACAGTAGTCTGTTCACCTCTTTTGGTCATCCAGAATTCAAACACTGATTAATTTAATTATCCATAATAATAGAGGAAACACATTGCTTGAAGAATTGCCCTGAACTCTGTCTCTACAAGCCATTAGTATTCATATTTATGTCTTATTTCCTCTTGCACATTACTATCTAAAATAGTATTTTCTTGCAACAGTTATGTAAGGGAACATTCAAGGTACTGCCTTGCAAATACTCTATAGACTAAAATAGAAGCCTGCTCTCTATTTCTGAAGTACACCTTCCTCACTATACATATATGCAGGAGTACTAAATATTCTTTTTCATTTTCATGGGATTTATGATCCATTTAACTGTGTTGTTTTGCTGCTGTGACAGAGTATTCAGAGTAGTGTGGACTGCTGTACCATGACAGGATATCTGGATATGTATGTTGTACTAATTAGGGAAGTCAGCTTAGGCATAGTTTTTGATAGAATAGATACATGTACCTTTGATACCAAGAGATAAGCCAGGTTTCTGCATAATAGCAGTTTCTAACTTGTTACCTACATTTTTCTCAGGTTATGCCAGAAAGATATTGACTGTGATTTATTCCTAGATTTGTGGGACTTTTTTTTACCCCTAAACTATAGAGCACTCTTAAACTGTGGAAAACAGGACACTGGAGATGAGCAAAATTTCCATTTTAAAAGTCTTGTTTAGACAACATCTTTGATCTAGTAACTGTGATTTACTTTAAAACAGTTCAGTCAATTTGAGGTTGGACTATACTACATCACAGTGCCCACAACATGGCAGTTTCAGCCTTCTTCTTGGAGGCAGAACCAAACCATTCTAGGGTTCGACTGCATTGCAGCAGTGTTTGGTCACATCTCTAGCACAGATTGCCATCTCAGGCAGTGGAGAAGAGTGCCACAAGATGGACATATTATAATCTGCTTTGATTAGAAAGGTCCAAGCCAGCCCCCACCTAAATCACCACTCACAATCAAACATAATTAATTGAGAACTGAAACACCCTGTCTCTCTCTGCGGGGCTGTAGCACAACTTCATAAACTTGTTGCAACAGAATGGTCACATGTTCACAGTCAGATTATAGTGTTTTTAACACTCATGTTGTCGCATGTGATTCCTGCCCCAGTCCAAAGTGAAAACTAGTACTTAACTCCCCTCTTTACCCACCAATTATTAAATACAAATCCTTCTTTTCAGCAAGACCAAAGGAGTAAAGGCTGTTGGCAATGTATCATCTACAAAAATAGCTAGTCTTATAATTAGCAGGGAACACAAAAACTTTTCATTTGACTAAGCTGTGCCCAGTGCTGCAATACAGGAAGGTACAAACAGTATCTGCTTAAGTGTAAAAAATATATACAACTATATTTAACACTTAAATTACTTTAAACTTTTTTTATGTTTGCATACTAGCAGTCCTATGTACATTCTGTTTTGAACAATACCTCTTTAATATCACCCTCTTTTGTTAAACAAGTTTTATTTTCCTCCCAAAATACCCAATGCTATTTCAAAATTCTGGAGGTGTAAAGATTTGAGCTATATAGAAAATAGCAGATGTCTTACAATTGTAGTGTATGATAGCACATATTTTTCATAAAAACAACACATCATTCAAAAACTGAACCATTGTAAAAGTTCTCATAAGTCCAACAGGACTGTCTTTAAAAGGTTACTTTGGTTAACAGCAAATCATTCTTAAACAATTAAGGAAAAAAATATATATTCTTTTACCACCTCTACAGATGCATTTCCTTGGCATGTTGCAGCAATCCATATACCTTTACAGACAAGCACTGCAGTTGTTCAGTGCACTTTATTTCTACTGTGATTTCAATAAAATAGTTTATATATCAGGTTGGATTGATTTATAATTAAATTAGTCCAATTTCCTAAAATCTCTGAATGAGAGAACTCTCTTCCTAAGCCTTCATAGAATTTCTGGTATCAGAGAAAGAACAGCAACACTATTACTGCTTCCTCACAAGGTTGATCTCACGCAGTATTTGCAACAGCATCAGTAAGTTGCACAAAACCACTGTTTCTCTGCTTATCCTTCCTGGTCAGGAGAGTAATGCAACGCAACTTGTGCTGAGCTCTGCATACTCTGACACCCAGCCAGTCACACCAGTCTCTGAGCATTCAGACAACTAAAGTGCCACTGGACTTCACAGTAACACAATTCTTTCTTCTGAGTCACTATGCACATTCCAGGTCATGTGTGGCCTCTGTCTCACTGAATTCTACTTATTTCCATGGGAATAAACGCCTTCAGCTTTTGGCCAGGAAGAGGAACTTGATCTTTATCTTTTTTCCCCTCCTTGCACTATGACACCCTCTGATCTGTCAAAAGTCACAAAAAGGCAAAAATGTAAGGTTCTCCAGGAAAAGAACACTGCATTAGTCACTATGCGTCAGTTAAGCTGAAAAGTAGAGAAGTCTGATCGATGAGCAAAGGCACTTGGTAACAGTACTGTGGACAATAGTCAGTGAGTCAACAATTTCAGTCTTGTGATCCAACTGACCAGCAGCGAGGGTTCTGCAGAGGAGTGTTTTGTGGATGATGTAACTGACGATTTTTTAGCACCTTCCTCTTGAAAAGGAATCGTTGCGCTGTTGTGGAGGTCTGTATTCATAAAACACCTGCTGCCTCGAATATAATCCGTTCCCTTCGCTAACTGCTTGTCGGACACTGGCCTGGAGAGGGGGTACTGCGTGGAGGGGCTTTCTTCAATGATTGGGGGTATCCTTTCATTACTGAAGTACCTGCAGAGGACATCTTCACCTGTACAAACAGGAGGAGGAAAAACAATTATTAATGACTTCAAACCCCTCTATTAACACTTTCTATTTTTATAAAAAATATTCTGGTTACACTTCAAATTCCCTAGATTTTGGTTATTTTTCATAACTCACCTCAACATAAGCAGCTATCAATAGATTTATAGCTGTTTGCTTCTTTAATATTTTTTTTTAAGTAACACAAATAACAAGAAAATAAATCCATATACAGAGAAGATACCATTTGACTGTTAAATTCCAGATTCACACACACCAAAAATGCTAGTTCAGACTACCATCATGCAAATCATTATCATGGGTGAGACCTAGCAAACTGTCTTGTAACATGTTATTCAAAATGCTGAAGAGACCAGAGTTGAATCCATATTTTTCTCAATGTAACTCATGAGTAACTTAAAAGATACAAATATTACTCTGGACAAAAGAAATTAATTTTGATAATTGGTTTTGACCAGTGATTTGTGATGCTTTCTCTGTTTTTACTCTTCCTTAGACAGCTGATCGTGGCAGTTGTTGCTAGAGGCATCCTACTGGACTAGACAGGCCTTTGGATGTGATTCAGTACAGCTTACATACAAGCCTTCAGCACTTAGGTACATTTCAAGTATTAAAAAAAGTCAACAAAAAACCAAAAGCAAAACTAAACAAAAAAACATACATACAAAAACCAGCCCTGCCACCTGGTGATTGCTCTGTTAGACTTGTTACTTAGCTTGCTTCTAATATCCCTCCAGGTTTATACTGCTTATGGACTCCTATTTTTGCATTACAATAATAGAATTCAGCATCTATTTTACGCAGAATTACGCATTAGTCTTCATAACCCATTTCAAGAAGAAACTACTCATCTTTATTTCCCACTCTAATAGTACTCAAATAGCCCTTCAGATGCAAAAGGGGATGGGAAGAGAAGGACAGTGTAGCAAGTAAAACAAGCCACCCAACCTAACACCCAGTGTTATGAGCTTCTGTCTCTCCCATTCAGTGATGTCTGCAGAATATGTTGTTTTCTAACAGGAGTCACAGTAAAAAGCAACTTCTAAAAGGCCCTACATTTTACATTTAGAGAACAAGCCTGCTTGTACAACAGCCTCCACAGTGAGCTAAAGAATCAGAAAGATTTATTAAAAAAGTAGTTTTACAATCAATATTAAATTCAGAAGAAAGGGAAAGAGATTTGCGTAAGAACAATACTTGTCTATAAAGAGACAAGTACAGATCTGCCCTAGTCATTCTAGCTTACTTTTAACGCTCACAAGAATTCCAAGACAGGAAAAAGTTTGAGTCCCAGCACTGAATAGCCTCACAAATTTCACAACTACTATCTGGCATTCCTGCTAAAACCAACAACTGTCACCTTGGATCAGCTCAGCAATATGCAAACCATAGTCCTCCGTTCCTAATTTAAACACTTTCATGCAGTTCACCCCAAGGAAATTTTGGAGAGGAAGGGAAGAGGAGGGATGACACCTAAAACCTTGCCTTTTCTCCCTAATCCTCGTGGCCTAGAGAAGCGTTCTGCAGCTCCTATCCAGCTTCCATCAGCAGGCATTGACAATGGACGAGGTTTTCCTAGAGGCAACATAAAAGGTTATGAGGAATTACAAAAGGTTAAGGAAAACAATTTTTAAATTGATACTTTTCACAATTAAACAAAGGGAGAGATATAGCAATAAGGAGTTCAAATTGCAGAAAAAAAATATTTGAAGATACTTCCACTGGTGGTATCAATAATAAGAGATCAATGTGCTGAGATTGAACAGCTTTGATTGAACACACTTGCTCATTTACAGCAGAGGACATAATGTTATAACCAAAACACACATGGAAATGGCCATCTGTAGCAGCAGAGCCCAGTTGAACGACACTCATTACAGAAATAACGGTATTTAAGTGAAATTATTTCAGATGTGTAATTTCAATTACTATTTGTAGAGAAGGCCCACCCACCAAGTCTAATGAACAGTTTTCTAACACAAATCACTTCAAACTGACCAAAGCACTTATCATAACAGTGATAATGAGAGAGGAATAAACTCACCATAGGACTGTGTTTTTTCCCTCATCTTGGCTGGTAGGATATTTACTTCCAGAGGATACCCAGGCAACTGATCTGAATCAGCAATAGTAAACCTTCGTCTTCGACTCTCCTGATCCAGAAAAGAATTGGGAGACTCGGCCCCCTTGGACCCAGCTAATGGTTGACTGTGTTTGTTGCCTCCTCCATACACAAAACTCCCCTTTTCATCTCTGAAAGGACATGTCACATCAGTTAGTAACTTAAGAGTTTAACATTACAGACATGACTAGGTTTGAAACACACTTCTAAACAAGCTGGAAAAGAAAAAAAGCAAGTCAGAAGAGAAAGCTACCTGCCTTATGCCATATTCACCGTTAACGAGCCAGGAATTTAACACACAGAGAAGTTTAGAGGTTCCACTCATGCAAAAGATTTTGATAAATGAGATCTTTCTGACCTGAGGGCATCAAAGCCCCTTATTCACTGCCTGCTCAGTATGCAGCTGTGAATCAGGAGTGCTACACAAATTTATCCATCTCTGTGTCATGGCAACACCTCTGAGGGACTATGGTTTTCAGTCACTGTAGGAGACCAATAACTGTCACTGAATATTTACCACTTTCTCTCTCCCTCCTTGAGAGTTCCAATAATAGATTCATAGTGTATATATATATATATACACATATATACATACGTGTGCATATATATATACCTACACACATACATACATATATACGCATATATGATTTTGATTAAATTCTGCAGGAACTCCCTTCCCAGAGCAATCTCTCATTCCCAAGGCCAGGAACAGCAATTTTTAGAACATGTCCCTACAAGTACTTTTGCAAGAGAAGCTACCCTCCAACTTAAGATTTCCCTGGGTTTTTTTTTTTCCTTTCCCTGTACATGCTACAATCCTATTGCTTGAAGCAACCATTAGCCCAGTCAGGCATCAAAGTACACAGCTGGTTGCCTAAGCACATATATACCCCAGTATTCACAGCAGCCCCCAGCCAACACATACCACTTTTCCAGCCCTCCACTAATGGGAAGGAGCTATTTATGGAAATTCAGAGACTGCAAATTGGACTCAAATGTTACATCACAACTGTATGTCTATGGAGAGCTCTCCTACACCACCACCATGTGGAGACTGTGCCATAGGGAGGGAAACCAAACACTGCTCTCTGCCTCCCAGCATGGACCAGAGAAGATCCACACCAGGAAGGGAAGGGAACAGGATGATGGTGAGGGGAGGAGAGGGGGAAAGCAACCACCACACAAATGCACCACCATTTCAAGAAAAAAATCAAAACATGCAGAGGTCAAAATAAATAGCCAAACAGAAAGCAAAAGAATTGCCCTTTCTCCTCTTCCTGCCTGCCACAACTTCCCACATTTGCTTTCTTTAAAAGTCAAAGTTAAGCCCCCTTTCCATGCATCATCCAGGATAAGTTTTACAGCTCACACTATTATTTCCTTCCTTGTCAACAGAGATTCAGTTCTAAAGGCATCTGAAGCTCAATATAATTTTGTGCCTCTTTAGGAAAGATAAACACATGCTCACCAATGTGCTTGAAATTTAACGAAAAGATTAAGACATTCATCTGCTAAATCTATATGCTTGTTATTATGCCAAAAGATTTGAGGTTTTGGGTTTTTTTAAAAGAACTGAACATGCGTAACCATAAAACCAGGGAGAGAGCATGTCAAGGTGTATCCAACTTCAGTAGAGACCCTACCTTGGAGAAACTCTCCTCCCAGTCCTGCCCCAAAGACTGCAGTAATAGAACCTCTGTCTCTCTCACAGCCCTTATGTGACAGGAGGCAAGTGCCCTCCCACAAGTCCTGCAGCAAAAGGTCAGAGTTCCTGTGTTGGGCTGTCTACATGCAACCTAAAGTGTTGGCACGGGTCAGAAAGCATGCCTGCCTTTCATGTCTTGCCTGAAAACTTTTTTTTCCATCACCTTCCAAGATCAGCTGGCAGGGTTCTGGCATGAGTCAACATGGACTTGAGAACAAACAACAGTTAGCCTTACCATACGCACCACCCCCCGCCTGCTGGGTACACAGGTCTGCAGTTTTATAGCTTACACCACAGCATAAAAAAATAAAAGTTGATGTATTGACTCTCCCTTCCCTTCAGTGGGAACATTCCTGTTTTAAACAACTTGCAAGTTTAACAATTTAATGTTATACGCATCTTAACGTGACATTCTTTTCTATCCTAACTCCCACAACAGTTACCTAACCTGCTAGAAAAAATATTCAACAGTGAAAAAAGTTACAGATAAAATTTACTTCTTGCTGCGGTGGATTTAAACAGAACCTGAGGTGACATCTGTTCGTGTTTTGGGAACAACTCTGATCTATGTGGCACACAATAATCTTCTAGCAATAAAACCTATTACAGTCCTGGTAGTGTATGCATTTAAGCATAAGTTTAAGCAATACAATTCATTCAGGCAACTAGAAGAAAGTCTGAGATTTACAGTTTCATCAAGCTAATCTGCACAGAGTTGTAATAGCAAGCCAGCTCAGAAACAAGTGTAATGAAGGAGTTTTTTGTTCAGTAGTGCATGTTTATTTGCATACCGAGGAGAATATGGAACAGCTGGTGGAGGGGGTATGTACAGATCCAAAATGGCTGGCTTCTCTTTCTTCAGTGAGGTATCCACGGTGCTTTCTGGTGACTGAGTTGAAGTTGGTGGAGGACTGGTCTGAAATGTTAGAGAGCTATCAGACATCTGAGCATTTATTTATCATTCGCAAAAAGATAATTTAATAATCAATAGTACCATTTTCATCCCCTAGTGAACTGTTATCTCCATGCTGTATGAACACATTAAAAACTCCTAGAAGTTACATTTTCCTTCACCCCCAGTTTTGGATAGCTTTGCAGTCCCTCCTGCAGAAGTCCTATCCTGGGTAATCCACTGCTCAAGAATATTTTGCTGTTTCCAGTTATATTTTTCCTGTAAATTCCAAAAAAAGCAACTGAGACAAAACCCCTTCTTCTATTTTTAAATGCATTAAAAGAACATAATTTATTTTAAAAATATGTGATTGGCAAACCTTGCAAAGCCAGCCCACGCTACCTTTATCCCATACAGTCCAAAGCCTGAGGTATAAACAGGAATATGGTAAAGTTCACCATAAACTGGATCAACAGATATAACTACAGTCAGGGAAGCAAAGAAAAAATAGATTTGGCATTGCTCATCTTTGTGGCTCACTTATATATTCTCAGTATCTTGCCAGGCTCCTGTCTGTCTCCAGGAGAGAAAAGGCTTCAAAGACCCTTTCACCTTTGTCAGGCAAGGGAACTCTCCCTTTTTTGTAAGGACGTGTCCAGGTTTTCACTCTGTCCACTTAGTTAACAGCACCCCTGCACAAGCACCCGCCTTTTACTGGTCAGTGTGCAGAACCCCAACAGGCTTCTCCAATCTCTCATTCCCCTAAGGAAACACCGCTTGGTGTAGCCTATAGCCAGCCCACCTCAGCTCTTCACACTGGTAGCAAATGTCAGGCATGATGCCACAAAAACAAGACACAGGCATTGGTGAAAGGAAGGATGAGAAAAGTAGTCAAGTACGCATCTTCTACTCAGTTTGAGAGAAATCTGCCTTCATCAAGACTTGTCATAGCCACCGGTATTTCATAGGTTGATAAATTACCCTCACAGCTGTAGGGAGACCTGTATCGCAACAGGAGTAGGAATGGGAACTCTCCCTGATTTTATTCATTTCACGTAATCACTTTAAATTCAGTTCAGTTGTTTCCTTCTATAAGCATTAAACCTTAAGTTTCCTAATGCAACAAGCCATTCCTCAACATGGTTATTTAATAATTATTAACACACTTTCTTTGTCTGCTCAGTAGCCAATCTGGGAATCTCCCAACGACCTAATCTTATTTAAACACGTAGTTTAAATGACTTCTTGACAAACACTCCCATCTAAAAAGAGGGCAAATATATGGAATAATCTAAGTTATTTCGGCAAAAACTTATTACTGTGCTAAATAGAGAAAGCCTTTATTGCTCCATGCTGATGAATTCCATACATATCAGCAGTTTCAGCAGTTTCTCCTCAGATAAGTTCTCCCAGTGACACGTAGACTGATTAAAATGTTCAGCACACCTAGTCCGTTTGTGTACCAAGAGGGCATTATCTGTTTTTAAGGAAAAGAGAGGAAAAAATAAAAAAGCAAAAGGCAAGAACATTTTCCTTTTATCTAGGAATCAGAAAAGGACAGCCATTTCACCTAACCTTCCTTGATCTGTAGTTAAACTTGAGTACCTGGGAGCATTTCTGGGATTTCTCTTTTTTGAGCTGCAACCAAGGCATTCCCATCCTGAGATCAGAGTGGAGCTGGCAGCCTCTCACCTGCACCAAGGGTGGTTTCCAGCGCAGGTTCTTTAATGGAGCAGGAGTAAAATGGAAAGAGCCAGTAGGACGTTTTTTAAGCAGCAGTCTAACTCCAGCAGGATTCTCTCTCAACTTTGCCACCAGATTTTTTAGCTGCCATCCAACCTGGAAGAGAATAAAGACATATTTTATTTGGCATTTCTTCTCTGAAAGTAAACAAACAAGAAAAACCCAAATTCCCCAAGTCAAACTGTTTTAATATGAACCTGGAAGATATACAAGGCATCAAAAAGAGTCAAAATTAAGAGAAAAAAAAAAAGGAAAGCTTCCTTTTTGCACGGTTCTTCATTTTTGTTTCCAAGAAAGTTCTCTACTTAAGCTGTAAACTAAACTGAGGTATCAAGCAATGCTCTTTATACCTCAGTTCTGGTCCTAGAAGGATGCATGGATATGCTCAAATTGACTAACACAGGGATTCACAGTGAACTATTTTTGCCATATTTCTTTCTCCCATTGAAAGGCATTGCTTACCTGTGCGAAGCAAAAATGTAATCATTATATCCAAGTTCCCAAATACAAATGATTTGAGAATCATTTGCAAATGACTGGGAGGTTTTTTAGCTGGTTTTATCTGCATTTCAGTGGATTCTAAGGAAGATTTTAAAACTGGTCTTAAATACAACATGAAGGATTTTAATATGATGCATACAGCATTTAAACATGAAATATTGCATATTTACTTTATCAAAATATTCCAAAGAATAAAATCTGTCTGGAAAACAAAACATTAAAAAGCCTCAGATATTTCATAAGGAAAACACCAGAACCGCCTCCTGATCCCATCCCCTCAGCACCTGTGGAGAGCAAGCCTTGCAGAGCAAGGATATGAGAAGGTTGGTAACATTGTTAGTTACTAACCACAGTTTGCCGATTAACTTGGATCACTTCATCGCCAGCATGAATCTTCTGAGAGCGATCAGCAGGGGACTACAAAGAGGAAAACAAGAGTCATGTGCTTCAGCGCTTTTCATCCCTCCCATAACAACCCCCACCATGCTAAGTCAAAGGTTGCATTAGCAATGCTCTTCAGTATAGATAATTTTCACATCTGCTGATGACTTCAAAAATGCAAATTAATTCATCAAATTATTTATTTGAGAAAGAAGGCATAGTAGCCTACATCTGTTACAGGCCAAATGGTACTTAAGTCATGGGACAGTCTCTACTGTCCTTTTGCCTCTAGTTTGTACCTTAGTTTTAGACAGTAGTGAGAGAGGACTGAAGAGGTTTTCTGCCCTAATACAGCAACTATCCTAAACGGCTTTCAAATAAATGTACACTGATCTAAAAAAAAATACATTAAGACTTTGAATGTACAGAACAAAGGACCAAAAACCGTCCAATCCACAAGACAGATCCATTGCACTTTTCCTTTCTGTTTCCTAATGTAAATAAAAGCTTCCAACTTTAATGTCAAACTGCCTGCCAGCATCAAGGTCAACAGATAAAAATATATGTTTGCACACATCCAGTGTGCATAGACAAGTATTTTTCAAATAATAATACACCTTAAAATACAAGTTTCCTGGAACAAAACCTAAGCTCTGGGGAACCATCAGCAAGGAAGAGATAAATGTGTCAATATTTACATTTATCAAGAGGTAGTGTAATGCACCAGCTATTGCTGCAGTTATTAAAAACAGTCTCACTGCTATAACACACCAACTCTGATCAGCCTTGACAACACCCAAAGTACAAAGGGTACCAAAGCACAAACCTTGGTATGTACTGCACCCCTGTCACAGGACAAATCCTCCACCCACTCCCCCCACCCCATGACTAACCACCTGTCAGCAGTCCAGCTCTTCCTAGTGACTCCAGCACTAAGCACTGAGATTAAGGACTTATCACACCTTTAGAGCTCCAATAACTTTCTTATGAGAAAGAACTAAGAATAAACAGTGCAACAAGGGAAGAAAATGTGTGGGAATTTATGGGAGGTTCCAGTTATCATGAGTAACCCCATTTCTTAATTGTCTTCTTGCTTCCTCTGAAAGGAAATGCCTCTGTGGAAAGCTGCATATATACGAGTCAACCAAGATCATGAAAAAATGATGGGCCAAAATCAAGTTTAGGAAAAAATAAAGCTCATTTCAAATTGTCCTTTGGGTGACTAACAGCTCATCTGAGGGAGGGTGGGGGACCCTTGAACAGAGAACTCTTACAACAAGTGGCAGGTCAAAGCACAGACACTTGGATCACATGTGAAAACAGAGGAAAGAACAAAGTTCAGATCTAGGTCAATGTGACACAGGAAGTCACACGTAAGATGGCACAAACCAGGAATAATCTTGGGTGACTGGTACCAAACAGACCTCCCCAGTCCTTCCACTGTTCAGTACTGTCAGTTTAGGGATGCAATTCCACTGCATTCCCATACACCAGCTTCTGGGAATAGCTACTAAGATACCATTCCAAACCTATGAAGAAAACTAAACTAAGACCCAGCCTGGGTCATCTAAACAATACCATGCCACCATAAAGACATCAGTTGTTTGCAGATCTCAGTCACTTCAAGTTCTGTTGCTCCAAAGGAAGAATCAGTGTTGATAAAAAAAGCAGACATTTAAGTCAACACTCAAAGCTACAGAAGAAATACAGCCCCCAAAATAAGATCCACATGCAGAGGCAGCTTGTCAGCAGTCATCATGACATTCTTTCACATTCATCGGATGTTGAAATTGCTGTCAAAGTGGGCCTGGTCTTTGTGGCAGATTCTATACAGAGTTATGCCATGACAGTAGCATAAAAGCTATAAAAGCTTTCACTCTGCACTCTGAACTGCAAGCACAGATTTCCACGCTCTCCTCCTGGTCCCTGGACTTGGCAGGGGTAACAACTAGAACCACTGGTTCTTTCCTATTCACAAAAAAAAAGCATTGCTGCAAAAGCCAAGTTTCTCTGCTCTTCTTTCTTTCAGTCACTGCTCCCGTACAGCAGCATATTTGACTGATGCTGTGATCCACAACATCACTTGCCAGCCTCAGCTTCTGGCTAGAGGTCCACTCCTTCCATGGTTACCCAGAAGCCTTCAATGAAGTCTCTGCTACAAAGGACTCACAGTGTACAAACAGAAGAAGAAAAAACTAATTGCCTACCCTACCAACTATTTCCTTCCAGCTGACCACTCTTAAAAGTCTTACTTGTTCATAGTCTTTCTACTCTGCAAGGTAATGTTGTGCCGGGACAGCTCATTAATTTCATTACTTATTACTGAATTTAGCACATTACCATCTAAATGCTCCCATTAGGGAAGATTGTCTTTGCCAGCAGAGAGCAAACACATCCAAGACTGTTAAGCAAGATACCATAAGGGCTCGGAACAGCAGATACAATATCTTATGAAAGTAATTATTTTAATGCCAAGCATTTGAACTAACTCATGTAACTTGCAGAAACTGGTTTAATTTGACTAACACTGAAACATGCAGACACAAAATATTTACAAATTATGGATAAACAAACAAAGTATCACACAGTATTAGAAGCAGTAATACCATACAAGTCATATGTAAAACAACAAAAACTAAGTCAAACTAACTCAGCAAAGCTACTGCCTGAGTTAATCTACATTTACTTCACTTACATTTTCTGTAGTTCCAGTAATCACATGCAATCCATCATAAGTTGATTTTATGTACATTCCCTAAATATAAAGAAAAAATGAAAAACAAGTTTAAAGGCAACATAAACCACATAACTTATCTGATTAAACAACTCCTGGCAATAGACTCAAAACATTATTAAAACCAGTTAACAATTCATATATTTTCCCTAAAAAAGTGTGTGGTCTAATTTTACATTAAACTTCTTCACAGATCACTTTTACTATAATTAATTATAATATTTATTATAAATTAAAACACCAAATATATGGAATGTGTCTTAGAAACACTGTTTGGTTGGTAATACCAAACACTGCTCGTTTTGCTGCCTTGTCAGTCTTTGGCCTCAAAATAACCTTTATTTCCTTACTACCCAGTCTGCACTAGAGAATTACAGGTTTTACTAGGTAGCCACTAGTTCTCCCCATACAAACCTCACTTACACAGATGGGCTACAAATATTGCAGACATATTCTTTTCCAGCTTCTCTTGGCAAGTCAATACACAGATTACCCCGTAACCACAATGCTGACATAAGCAATAAAAGCTCCAGCAGAGTGTCTGTGGCTTGGTATGTTAACACTGAGTGTGAATACGAGGACAAACTCAGATGAAGTGGGTGTTGACCATAAGAACACCAAATTAAAAATCACAAGCCGGCTATTAACTAATAATTACATAGATTTCCCCACAAGAGGTGACCAGTACATTGGTTCCATCATTTATGAACAAATACATACCTACTTTTCCTATCTACATCTGTTGTTAAAAGCACTCATGCTGAGCAGTATAGAATTGGATGTTATTCTGGAGCTGAAAGTAGTTTAGCTTAAAAGTACAAGGAAAAATAGAAGATTTTTTTGATCCTTCCTATCCAGCCAATTCCTTCCCTGTTTGCCTGTCAGTTTCCAATTGTGTGCACCTACCTCTTCATTTCTTACTTAGTCCAAGCTAGACTGACTTCGCTTTGTTGCAGCTTGCACTTTAACAGAGGTCCTCATAATTTCAAGAATGCATGACTAATTCAGTCAAATCCATTGGTGTAGGTAAAACTATATAGCATAGTAAGACTGTGCAGCTTTCTCTGTAAGTGTTCATCTCTTCTGCCTTCAGGGCCAGGGGGTGAACACAAATGCACTTAAGAATTTAAATTCCCTCCAACTAATTCTAACACATCTGTTTGCTAGACAGAAAAGCCACTAAGATTTCAAACTAAGTTTCTCATAACCAGCACTCAGCTAAGCAGAATCCACTGAATGAACAAGAGTCAGTCACTGAACATTTAAAAAGTTTTCATATTCCTGTTAAAGGTAAACCTCAAAAATTCTCATTTTCTTCTCAGTCTTGCTACAAAAACAAATAAAACCACATCTTTCAAAACGCAAACATAATTTCTCATTACCTTCTCCCTCCCCCAGCCCTACGAGAAAAACAACTAGATAGAGTAACCTGCAAAAATAAAACTACTAATTTCACAAGCATTTGTAAATTCTCCAATATCCTCATTAAGACAAAAATCTTCAACAACTTATCATTAAAAATTATATTTGGGATCAAACCTATTAACATGCATACCTGTCTCTGGCAGCCACTCCAGCACACCACCTGACCTTTAGAGTTCCTCCCCATGCCTCTTTCTTTTCTCCATAGGTTATTATTGGTCTTGAAATAACTTACTATACATAAACACTTGCATTGGCTCACAAGACTACTTTATAAAACACTAGGGACATCAGGAGACTCCAGTTCTTACCAGGCCTTCCCCAGGTTTAATGTTGGTTAAGTGAACCTCCTCCAGACAGGCACACTGGCTCATCAATGGATCTGTAGTTGATCGAATGGCTTTATCACAAATGCCATTTAAAGTCTTGGCCTACAATGAGAACCCACAAAAAACAGTTAGGAAAATTCTCCCCTGGCTTCTTCCTCTTCCAGTTCTCAAAAGATGTAAAGGAAATGAGTTTTAAAACCACTGAAATAGCAGATTCATTTGTACAAATCTATTTTACAGTATGTTTATATTCTTACTGTGACACAGTAAAAACAACTTGTTTCCATTAGTGCCACCTCCCCATCGCTAAACAACAAACACTGAAAATATAGCAAAAAATTGCATAGGGGCTTATTTGCTTTAACCAAAATACAACCCACTAAAATATTGAAACATTTTGATGATTCTTTGTGGGAACAACTGACAGTTTTTCATGTTGTTCTTTATTTCTGCTATGAGAATAAAATTGGCCATGTGCTACAAAAAGTGATGTGCTGGCCACTGACTTAACTGCACAAAGCTTTACAGTATAAGGTAGGACACCTAGAACTTAAGTGTTTCAGCAGTACTTCTTTCCACTGTGCCTCTGAACTGACCTCTTCTGGAATGCTTACGCAGGCAAGGTTCACATTTCCTTTTGACTGAAACATAACTGATCCTAAGCCAACATTATAACTAAAGGCTAATTCTGACCTTGGTGTGTGTGTGTCAGTATAGTTAGAGGCAGAATGGCTTTGCCTTGTAGAACATTTAACTATTAGAAGGGCTAATTAAACATGAGGGGGAAAAAAAAGTCAAAAAAATCTGTGCCCTCTCTACACTCACAAATTTCACTACTTCCCACAGTGTGTTTTCCATCTTGACATTAACTGAAGGAATGCTGAAACTCAAAGTCAGTTGCAAAAGCTAAAAGAGGAAGGGAGAGAGGATTAGTACAGTATAGTAGTTAGTTATAAACAGTTTGGGAACCAGCAAGTCACCTTTCACAAGGGGTTTGAATCCTCCAGTCAAAGTAGACACATGTAATTACAGGATGAGGGGAGTTGTGTCATAGGAAGACAGTGGTTTTGATTACAATGGTCCCTGGAAACAATAGTTCCAATGTTTTCTGTTTTGTTTTACGTCAGATTTATAGAGCAGCAATAAAATAAATCAAAACAATGTTTAAGTGTGAATGCGAGGAACTGCTCAAACAAGGAGATTCCAAACAACAATACCTACTTCCAGAGTGGGTGTGCACAAATGGAAAAAGAAAGATGCAGAAAACTCCCTTTTACGTGGTCTCAGTATTTATGGACAAAATTATTTTTAGTTATTTTGCTGCTAAATTCCTAAGCATCTATGAGCTACCGGAAGGCCTTATCAAAGAGCACAGCCTGGTTCATGTCAAAAGCAGGAAGCGATGATTAACTGTTACAAAATATAAAAAGCATTCCATTACACTCCGCGTTTGGTCACAAGGCTGCTTCGAACAACCCTGAAAACTCAAGCTCAAGTACAAACAGAAACAGAACTTCAGCTCTGTGGCAGGGCAGTTCTTCAACACGAAGAAGTGTAATAAGGCATAGTGTCTGCTTATTAAGGTACTAACTGCACTTCACAGGCATAATTGATTTATTTAGCCTATGAACATTCTACAGTACTACTCCTCCCTTGAAAATTTGAGGCCTAAATCCTCTTGGAAAAATAGCTGTGGAATGAAATTTGAAGGAATACTTGACTCCATGCTATTACACACACCACCCATCTGTTCCAATTTCATTGATTTCCTTTACAGTGAAGAATATTCACAAAACAACCCACAGTAATGTTTACTTGCATGATATGCTTGTACATTTGGGACTGAAAAGCTGTTGTCAGTACAGTCAGAATAGGAGCAACTGAAATAAATGTGAATGCAAACAGCTGAGTTTCAACAGAAACATAAACTTACCACAGTCTGGACTTTATCTTCCATGTCAGCCACAGTGCAATCCTAAAAACAAAACAAGAACAAAAGCCCTGCATTAACCAATAAACATGTAAACAAACCATCTCTGAAAACGCTGCAAAACTGCCATTTTTACCTTGAATAGAAATAGTTATTCATGCTGCAGGGATTAATCAGATTAGTTTCACCCAGTAGGGCTCAAATAGTTATTAAGCAACTATTTTCTGGCCCCGGTAGAAAGCAATAATAAACCTTGAAAACTAAGAGAATGTGGGATTCAATTACAGCAGCTGACTTTTCCAGAGAAGTAGAACCCTGCAGAACCATGCAAAATAAAGTATTCTCACAAGGCCAGGCATATGAGTTTGCCTTACACTGGTAAAGGCACTCCTCTGTCCCAGGCATCAAAATGTATATAAAACATATTGTTGAAAACAGAATGGAAAGTGATTTTTTTTTAAATATGCTATTGATTACATTCCTGAAGAGCAGAGGACTGCACACAAGGCATTGTTTACACAGCCCAGGTACAAAAGTCTTTGAACTGAAACAAGTTCATGTAAGAAACCACAGAAATTATCACTGTTTTCTGCAAGAAGAGCTGAACTGCGGAATAATATTGTGCTCAGATTAAAAAGTTAATACAGCAGATAAATAACAAAACAAGATTTATAGGATCTATAAGGAGAAAACCCCCAAACCCCAAGCATTTTAACAAGGTTAAATTCCAGGATATTTGCCTTTGACATTTGTATTGGGTTTGCATGTCAAGATTTTGGTAACAGGGATGCAACACGTGTGGCTTCTAAAGGAGCTACTAGAAGCTTCCCCTGTGAAGCTTCCCCATGAAGCCAGTGCCAACAACCTCCAAGATGGACCTGTCACTAGCCAAGGCTGACCCCATCAGCGATAGTGGCAGCACCTCTGGTATAACAGATTTAAGAAGTGGGGGAAAAAAGCCCTGTGTAACTGCAGCAGGAGAGAGGGGTGAGAATATGTGAGAGAAACAACTCTCCAAATACCAAGGTCATTGAAGGAGGAGGGGCAGGAGGTGCTCCAGGCACCAGTGCAGAGATTCCCCTGCAGCCCATGGTGAGGCAGGGTGTCCCCCTGCAGCCCATGGTGAGGCAGGGTGTCCCCCTGCAGCCCATGGAGGTCTGCAGTGGAGCAGAGATCCATCTGCAGCCTGTGAAAGACCCCATACTGGAGCAGGTGGATGCCCAAAGGAGGCTGTGACACCATGGGAAGCCCATGCTGGAGCAGGTTTGCTGACACAACTTGTGACCCCATGGGGGACCCACCCTGAAGCAGTTTGTTCCTGAAGGACTGCACCCTGTGGGAGGGACCCAGGTTGGTGCAGTTTGCCAAGAAGTGCAGCTCGTGGGAAGGAGTCATGTTGGAGAAGTTTGTGGAGGACCGTCTTCTGCCTTTCTCGGTTAAATACATCTGCATGACTCAAGAGGAAATGTCACCTATCCTGCAGCTCAGTTTCTCAATATTGCAAAGTCCTACTGCTCCTACTCATTCAACCTTAAAGTTTGCCACAGAACTTTAAGTGGAGTAAGCTCTGGTCCTTGAGTCTTTATAGCTATCATTAAAGTCAACTAGAATCTCCTTGCATTCCTGCCTTGCTTCATTATTCACCCACTATTATACATCACTTATGATTATGCAGAGCACCATTGGTTTCATGAGAGCCATCCTGGTCTCTTCTCCACTATTAGAACTGACCATTTGTTCCTATAGTTTATACTCCAATAAGAAATACTTTTGAAATCTAAAAGCCCTCCTAAAAATTTTTTGATTGTGTCTCTCTTTTTCACATCAGTGGACTCCTTGAGACCATTCTAACATATCTGCAGTGTCCCAGTACAAAACAGTGTTGGTTCTTCCCCCATTAATGCTTATTCTTGCCTGTACCAATCCCATTCTTTATTATAGCTCCTATCAAATTGGCAGAGAAGTAGTTTGATGCCTTTTAAAAGGCTAGGGTGTAGTATTCACCAACTTCCATTCCTCTGCCAACAAAGGCTGACTTAACCAAAAGATTAGACACCATTTTTAGCAGTTTAATATATTCAGCAATCTCATATTTCAGTTCCTGTAGCACTTTTGGGTGAACACCATCTGCTGCTAGAAACACTTATTGTTCTACTGCACAATCTGCAAATCTGTAGCTTTAAATCACAGATTTTGTGCATTTGCAAACACAGTGCTCAAGCAAGAAGGGCATCAAGCAGCAGGACAAACCTATGCACCTTAGAATTTACAGTACCCAGACACTATCCTTTGACAATGATACAACTGACATAATTGGGTGTCATCATAGCTTGACAACTCATAGGATGTTTCTGTCCTTTGACACCATCCCTTCAACATGGGGAGAGAATCACACATGTCACAGGACATGGTCTTTCAGAGTTTGAAGAATATATGGCCATGGAGTAATGGTTATGAGCAAGTTTGGCAGTAACTGAAGTGTGCACACAGTGCTTCACGGCCAAAGCAGTGGTATGCTCTCAGAACAGCTTTGAAGACAGGCAGTATTATTCAGAGAGCAAAAAAAGGTCATTTGCCAAGATGCTACGTATTGCTGCATGTCCTTTCAGCTATTATCTGTACAAGTACTCCTCACACAGCTGATAAATTAAAGTTCTGAAAAATACTGTGGTGTTGGAGTACTGGCAGAAGCAGCCTGGTTAGTGCAATTTGTATTGTAAAGGTGGCAACTCCTTTCATTACATGCAGCATTTCCCATCTGATGGCTAAACCACTCTGTTATGGGACCAGACCTATGAAGCCTGCGAGTACAGATGTAAAAATCAATGGAGCCATATTTTTGTTTAGAGTTAGCACTGATAACTCTTTATGAACATGTTGTTTGGAATGTGAAGATCTTCAAATGCAGATCAACTATTTCAAAAACTAACCCTCTTTCTCATAAAGCTCAAGGAAATATAAGTAGCCTTTAAACTGCAGTCACTTCAGGTATAACCAGCAATGAAATTGGGGTAGGAACAACAAACAACTCCCACCACTCAGAAAAACAAACAACTGAAACTGACCTTCATGGACCTTCGAAGTTTAAGTAAGCTCTCATTCCCAGATCTGCCTTTCATGAGCACTCAGCACACAGCAAGCACATTACTTCCCCAAACACCCCCTTCCCCTCCCTTTTGGAAAGCAAAAAGAAATAAGCTGACCTTCTGAACAGTAGTAGTGAGATCCAAGCAGAGCTGAATGATTCTGTTCTTCATTGATGAAAAGTCAGCAATACCTGTAAATGGGGTCCTGCAACAAGAGAAAATTCCCCTTAGATCAAAGGGACCAGCCTTTTCCAATCCTATCCTATCAGTGACAAAGAGCATATGAGAGTACACCCTGAAACTCTGACACTCACATGGGTATGAGGATACAGTTTTACAACATAAGTATTCCTGACTGCACCAAAACTGGAAAATGTCTATCCCTGTGGTAAGCAAGTTCAAAAAACAGAACCAGAAGAAATGGTCAGTTTTCCAAACTACAGTTCTCTCTACTTGCAAGCTCAAGTCACGTTGTGTTGTAAAAATCATACACTTGGCTTTGCCAGTGAGTAGACCTCTAATTTTCTGACTGGACAAAGAAAAAAAAAATTCTCTAAAAGAAGAAAAATGGATTTTCACATTTTACACACAGAGATACAGTGAGACTTAAGAAGAATCATTACAGGTAGGGCAGCTTTACAGCCTGTAGAGTACTACCTCAGAACAGCTGCAAAAGCTAGAAGAGGGGTTGAGAAGTAACAACAGTGGGTTTGGAAATGGACAAGCCAGCAACTTTCCTGATGGTGATTTACAGAAAAAAATCTAGGGTGAGCTGCCAGCAACATAGTGAAAGAAGAGGACCAGGTGACAGGTACAAGTTGTTAACGTCACTGTCTGGACACAGACCAATTCCTTGCTTGAGAGCAGGGATACTGAAGGATAAAAGTGCTTCTTGCTGTCAGCCCCTGTGCAGTTCTCCTCCTTCTCAGTAAAGTTAGCAAGGGGTTTGAGAATTTATGTTCATCTGTTATCATGGATTGCATCCCTGCCAGGACTTGACCTGCTATAGCTGCCACAAAACAACTCTGGTTCCTTCCAGACAAAAAAAGAATTAAATAAGTAAAAAAAAAAAAAAAAAGAAGAAGAAGAAGAAGAAAAACCCAGAAAACAAAACAAGCATAAGGAGAATCTCTCCCACTGCTCAGTTTTCAAATAACATAGCTAAGGTCATGATTTTAGCAGAACATTAAAAATTCTTTTAGATAGGGACTTGCCAATGGCAAGTAATTTATAAGGTGGAAGGGGAAAAGAGAAGAAGTCACATGCATGAGAAATGACCTAAAAGGGAAGACTCCTACTTTTATAAATACCAGTTTGTGTGCAATATAATAGTTTTGCTACTTTAGCAAGAGTGGAAGTGCAAGAGTAGATTACCCCAGATTAAATTTGTTCGCTAGAGGCCTTCTGGCAACATGAAAAAAGGAGTGACTGAGATGGAGATCTTTACACCCAGACATCTAGGAACTGCCCTACAAGAAGAAGCAATTCATTAGAGTAGCAAACTAAAACATAATGATTTTATTCTTACCTGTCCAACCATGCAAGCAAGGCTTTAGCAGCACCAATAAGCTCTACCACAGAAGTAAGGAATTCATTGGGGGGCTTGCGAGAGGTATTTCCATCATAATTTGAGCTTTTCCTACGGCTGCTGATGTAATTTTGCAGGTTGTTGGATGACGCTCGCAGCTTGAGAACCAGATTCTTCATGTTGTCTGTTTCAAGGCCATAGTTCTGCAAGCAGTATTATTAAGCATCATAAATAACCTCACTGAGTTCTCCTGTTTATTTATACAATAAGTTGCAAGCTCGTATGGGATGAAAAGTCTGAAGATTCACACAGTTTTCTTCTGTTTTTTTTGGCAAAAGCACCTTCTAAGATTTGTTCTACACTATAGCCACTAAAGAATACTTTTGGCAATACCACCCCCAGTTTCTGACATTGAGATTTGAGGACACAATCAGAATGAAGTCCCACTGTCCTAACACATGTCATTTACCTGTTAATAACAGGATTGTGTTGGTTTTATTTTTGTTAAAGGAAAGTCAACACTTTTTTTCTTAAGATGTTTTCTATACTGTGGTACATAAACACTGAACTAACATTTCATTCACAACTAAAGATAAGTTAAATCTGGTAGGAGATAAAAACATCAACAGGAAGCAAATGTAATTTTGCAATCAAAATCTTAAGTAAATATTTGGATCACAAGTTTTCAGGAACTGTGCTTTTTTACTACAACAGTGCAATTATTTGCAAGTTTGAGGACTCCATTAAGACTACACATACTAATTAAAACCATTTTTAGACATTTTTCATTCAACACCATCTTTACAAAAATTTACAAAACCTAAAAAATTCTCTAAGTCTTGCCTGTAACTTCAACTTTATAAATTCAAATACAACTAAGCCACATTCCATAGGACTAAACCCCAATTGTTTTAAGTAACGCATTGATCATCTCATTCCAAACATGTCAGAAGTGCTTCTCTCTTCTGAAGGCAACTCAGTTTTGTAATCAAGAATTTCTTTTCACTGTTAGTGTGCAAATGTATGAATTATGTAGCAATATGTATTTATCTGTGCTTCTGTGTTATTCCACCTTGTAAAACTTCTGTGTAGGTCTCAGGTAAAGCTTAGCTCTTTTAGAATGAAAATTCTTTCTTTTCTTGAGAAAAGGCAGGGAAAAAAAACTAAACAAAAAAAATAAAAAAAAAAACACATAAAAGCAAAAAGACACTCCTACCAGAACAAAACAAACACCCAAAAATACAAAAAAAAGTCCTGCCTTTCTCTGTTCTTTTGCTGCTGCAGATTCTTGCAAACAACCTCCAAGTTCCATAGTTTAGTCAGCTGTACTATCTACTCTTTTCCCCTTCCCACTCAAAAACATAAAACAACTAAAGAAAATTTTAATTCCATTCAACACCTAGTTTCCAGGGGTTCCCAATATGCAGGCTGAAGGGTAGCTCTGGAGGTTTCAGACCAACCTCTTGCTCACAGCAGGCTCAGTTGCGAGTTCAGAGCAGCTTGTTCAGGATTTCATCCTGTCAGATCTTGAAAACCTCCAAGGACAAAGACTGTACAACCTTTTTGGGCAACTTGATCGACCGTCTGACTGTCCTGAGAGTAAGCAAATGTTCCCTTATATCCAGCCTGAACCTCATTTCAACTTCTGCCCAAAGTCTCTCATCTTCCTGCCATGTAAGCCCAGATCTGTCATCCTGCCAGCTGTGTTTCACACCATGGTAGGTGCTGGGGATCTCCTGTTGGGCCTCCCTGGAACTGTCTCTTCCCCAGGCTGAAGAAGTTCCAGTCCCTCAGACTCTCCTAATGGGCAAGTACTCCAGCCCTGACCAACCTGATAGCCCTCCACTGAGCTTGCTCTGGTTTCTCTATATCTTTCCTGTCTTAGGGCAGGGGGCATATTCAGACTAATGAATGACTAGTACAGGGTGATAATCACTTCCCTCCCTCTCCCGTTAACCATTAATGCAGAGCAGGATGCTGCTAATGCACACTGCTGGCTTGAGGCTCCATTCCCTCCACAGTCAAGCATCCATAAAAGAGTCTGGAATATTTTAGATTTAAGTAATTTACAAAAGAGGAGACTGAATCTTTGACCCAAAGAAACACACCAGTGTATGGAGAGGTTTCAGCTACACGGCTACCTTTAAAATGCCTGCTATGGATAAGATTCTAGTGGGTGTAAGTTACACAAGTGCCTCCCTCCTCCACCTCAGGGCTCTTGGCAAGGAAGTACCCTAAAGTGCAGCCAGGAGTAGGGGTTGAAAGGATATGTCCAATTCAAAAAAATACCACTGTTGCAACAGCAAAGGATATCCTTAAATTTTCCAGGATCACAGAAAGGGAAATATCCGTATTACTGAACAACGTTAAAGTACTTGCACACTGTCATGTGTGAACTTATCACCTTTTAATTTTAACAACAACAGCAAAAGAAGAAAACACCACAAGAGTATCATTTCTAATGCATTTCTTGTAGTCAGGTTTCTCCTCCTCACAGAACATCACATATTAGTCTATCATTGAAGAAATACTTTTTCACAAACAGGCCTGGATGTGGGGCAAGTTCCTATGACCACAAGAAAGTAGTCACACATCAGAAAATCCCCTCTTAAATTAGGGATTTGGAGTACACTGATCCCCTCCTTCCTTAAAGGGACAGAAAATACAAAATACCTTTTCTGTGCAGAGGTATAACCACGTAATAACTCTGATCAGAACTTGAGTCTTCATATAATTATCTCCAGGTCTTTCTGTCATTCGGATGCAGGAATTATGCCAACCATCTCTAGGTATTTGAGATTAGAGACGGCACCACCATTTAAGAAGACACATGTTGATATACCAGGTAAGATTTTGGTTTTGGCCCTAAAACATTCACATACTCCTTATCACACCTCTTATTCAAATTCCTTATTTACACAGCATTTGAGTCTGGTATAACTTTTCCAGATGAGGTAGGTCTTAAATAAATCTCTCTACCTCAGTTTTGAGGTAGACTTCATCAACCCAAGTGTTGCCTCTAGAGATGCAGGGGCTGCAGCTCATAATTGCAACTGGTCTACCCAACAGACTATCAAGAGCACATCAAAGCCAAGCTCTAACAGTCACCCCTCTAAGTTCTTCTACAACTTCCCCCAAAGAGTCTACAGAGTGCACCAGAGATATGTAAAACAGCAGCTTGTGCTCTAGGAAAGGTCCTGACTAAGCACTATGCCTATCCAGCACAACAGGGAGCGTGCAGCTCTTCAGTATCAGGAAACCAAATTATCCAACTATTGATCAGCCCTGATGGATGAACTCCCCCAGAACAATGCATCATCACAACCCAAGCCACCTCTGCTCCAGGGGCAAGGCAGTCTCCTCACTTATCTGCTCTAATAAACAGAAAGCATTCTGCCTCTTCATCATATAGCAATGCTTCTATCCAAGCTGACGCTGTCTTGAACACCTCACACATCACCAACTATTTCTGTTCTTTTTTTGCTTCTTCACTTGCAGTGTCCAGTCTGTTGGGAGGGCTGGTCTAGGGATCTAAACCACTCAAAGGAATCTAATCCCTTTTTACCTTTATTCTGGTTTAGCTTCCTGAAGTAGCTCACTTCAGGGTCAGGTGAGTGCAAGCACAGATCACTAATCAGAGGACAGGAGGTGGTGGAGGCAGTAGGTGATTTGGATTAATTTAACTTTTCGTGGAACTGTAGCCTCGACTCAGTACAGATAGGAATGTTGATATCGTGGCAGCACACCAAACAGCCTTCACAGTGACACACAGTCAAAGCGCAAAGCTCAGCAGGCTTTTCTTGAAATACTTCTACAGGACTGAGGCTGCAATAGTTAGCAAATTATTATTTAAGCAACTAAAAGGTTTTAGATGTTGCTCACGAACGAAAGAAACAGGTTACATTTTCCTATCGCTCCTGATTTAAAACATCAAAGTTGTTTTAATCAAAACACAGGCTGAAGCCAGCAGTCAAGAGCACCCAATGTCAAACATTCCCAGGTTATTACTCATTAACCTGGGGAGCCACATGCAGGGTTGGAGCGAGAGGCAGCACCCACACGTGCACCAGAGAGCACATGCACACAAGAGCATGCTCTAAGTTCCACCACATTTAATGAGAAAAAGTAATCTGATCAAATAATTGCTCAAGGTCAGGCAGCTAGCATAAAGTAAATAAAAAATGTAGCTAACTGAAGTCAAAGGAGCACAGCAGTTGTGTCAGAGCTGATTTGGGCTGATACAGAGCCCTGTCACTGCCCAGGGACAGCATCTCCTGCCCTTTTACAGCCATGTTCATATCCCACAATGTGATGAGCTGGATCTGCTGGCTGATCCAACTGAAAGCCTGTTCTGGGAAAAAGATGAATAAAACCAGACTGAATGCCTGCTCAGAAGCTGATCCAAGTCACTTCATGCCTATATAAACACTAGAGTTAATGCAAGGTAATGTCACAGTCACTCATTCTTGCTCTTGTCCTTTTAACAAAAATGCATCCTAAAGAATCCTTTGGAGTAACAAATCTCCTAATAAACAGCACTCAATTTGAAACCTCTAGAAAATTGAAATCTCATGAGGCAGGGCACAGATATCCTTTAACAAGGATAAGTCATCATGTATGCATGTTTTATGTCGTGATGTTATATTTTGTTACAGTGCAAATATGCTGGCAGAACATTACTATGAGTGAAATTATCAAAGGCAGAACTATGCTCTTTTTTGTTTATGAGGTTTCTAGTGGGTTTTTTTAATTGCATAAAGCTAGTATCTCTTAATTCTAACCTCAAGAAAAATCCACTGCTTTTTTGCTTTGAAACTCTCACATCACATAGTGTAGGTAAAGATTCAAAAATCAAATCCAAAGAACACATTAAAAGTGAAAATATTTGCATAGTTTCCTGTTAACAAATATAAAATAATGCAAGCATTAAGCCCCAAAAAGTTTGTTTTCTGGATTACCCTCCCTGTTTTTGTGGTTTGAAAAGCACAGTTATGTATGTTTGCTCCCCCCTTCCCCAAATACTTCGGAGTCAACTCAGAAATGTCTTTCTTCCATCCCTTGACCCCCCCCAAGCAAATACTGTTGACAAAAAGACAGAGGCACTCAAGTTGATGGGTTTTTTCTCCCTCTGGAGAATTCAGATCCTTTGATACATCCTCTAAATTCCTCAAATATGTCTTCAATATCTGTTCAGAAAACTCTGTCAAACCAGCTGGAGAGCAACAGAAATGTGTGCTCAGAAGAAACCTTCACTTTTTAATCCTAGCCCACACTCTCCTGCCACCTCTTCAGGATGTTGTGCATATGGCCACTGCTATGAGGAGATGAGGGAACACTGTTTCATCACCAAAGCAGCAGAGAAAGATGAATTAATTTCTCTTTCACACCATAACTTCCAGACACATGTTCACCTTACCACTGACAAATAATATTCAAACCCCATAAAAACTAAATAAAAAAAACAGGTGTATTTGGTGTCCTTCCTCAAGGAAAGGACTACCTTCATACTTCATATATTTTTGTGACTGATCTACTGAGGCTGAAACAGAGGTCTGTAAGGTGAATGCTTGAAAAGAATTCAACAGGAGAAAGATGTTCCAAATAAGCTGGTAGCTTTAGAGTCACGTGTTCTTGTGGTGTGAGGGAACCAAAGCACTGATCTGAAGGAAATTCATTTGGAAAACTGCCAAGGCAAAACTAGATAAAAAGGGAAATTCTTCTTGAGAACGCCAGGTCTGGGGAACTACCAAACCCCCCTCTCAGCCCTTCTCTGCCAAGAACAACAACTTTTGAAAGTGTGACCTCCGACTGGCTCAGCCAATGCCACGTTTCCAGAGTGTGAGCTAATACCACAGTGGGGGTGCTGGGGGACAAAAAAGAAAAAGAAAAAAAGATAAAATCCAAAAATAGTTCCTTTACTTTCAAGACCCCAGAAGTCACGGAAATATCATGATATGTACTCACACCATACACTAAATAACACACATTCCCACTTTCAAAGAACTAACACAGGTGGAATCCAGAAACCTTTATTCACACACAAAAACAAGAGAGAACAAAATAAAAAACTGGTTGTCACTAGAAATTTAGCGTCCCCTTGGAAAGAAAATCAACAGTGATTTTATACAATTCCAAAAATTCAAGGGAAGGGACATCAATAAGATGGCAAAGGGCATACCTAAAACATGGGAATTCTTTCTCCACCTCTGAAAAAGGGAACAAGGATGTTAAGGCTGTAATATGCAATAGCTGTCTAATGCATTAACTTGAGTTGCATTTCACAAAGGATTTCCAGAAATGGGTCTGAGGTCAAAACTTTTGTCTACAAAGGAAATTAGAAGGAAATTGTAGGAGATAAAACACAGCTTTAAATTCTGGCAGTTGTCCAGCTTTGTTCACTTTATTCTAATTTTTTAAAAGAAAAAAGTGCCTTCAGGAACTGCCACATAGATTACTTCAGTCAGGACTGTATACAACCCACAGTACATTTATTAACTCACTGGACCCCTTCACTTGCCCAACAGACTATCCCTTCCCACACCATAAACTGCATTTCAGCCTAATTATGTTCTTCTATTAGATTTTCAAGTACATGTTAATTTTTGACAGATCAAATATGTAAAGGAAATAAAATGTTTTTCAAATATAAGAGCAACTCTTTGCAAAACAAGTAGATTGTATGAAGAGATCTCATTAAATATACTTCTTTCAGTACAAGCTATCCAATTTGTTCCTGGTCACAGAGTAGGAATGATCCTTATGGCACCTCTGCAGCAAATAAAGTATATCACACAGGTAATAAAGACCCTCCATTTTAAGAAGAGTATGCTCAGTGCAGCAAGCCTTGCCTAACAAAGTGAAGACGAGCCAGTGCTGGCCAAGGAATCATTGGGTAGGCCTTCCCACCCTCCTCCTTGATGTAATTATATATATACCTCTGGTGCTCACTGACAGGATTACATCAAATATGCCTTCAAGACTGTGTCAAAACTATGGCTTTTAAATAAAGCCTGAACTAGCGAGACAATCCAAAATATATTTATCCTCTACAGAGTGTTTGTTTTAAAAGTATCTGCAGTGATATATCAGGACTAAGACAAAGGAACAGCTTAAGTTCTGAATCCAATGAGTGTTCAACTAGACTGTAACTGAGGTAGCAAAACATCCCTCATTTCAAGAATTAATTTTTCTTCCCTTCATATGTTTTCTACAGAATTGCCCTAAACCTATTTCAACTGATGTGAGGAACTTCTGGCTTCTGTTCAACAATATGCCATCTATCTTCTAAGACAAACTCACTCTAGCAATTTTAATCACTCTGTTCACTAACAGGAGCCATAAGACCTAACAATGCCACTTGGACAACTTCATTCATTGGAAGTGCAACCAAATGAATTAAAGTTCCCTCTTATTAGGAAAAAGTTAAACAGCTATTAATACAAAACTTGCAACAATTAAACAAACTCTTACTGCTTCCTTTTATTGTGATTTGTAACAGAAACCAGGGAACAAAGGTATTCTGGTTTTATCAGTCTTGCCTTGGTTATTCACCCAAAAAAGCACTGGAAGAAATACTTTACATGTCAGTTCACCACTTAACTAACCAGTGCACACAGGAGATCCACAGCCTCTAGAACCAGTTCCTGATGTCCAATCCGTGAGATACCCAACTCTTCAAGGTCCTGGTGAGAAATCTGTAGGAGTTGTTCACCATTAATCTTTTCTCGTTCAAATTTATGGACATATTGCTGCAGGCAATCATCCAGGCCTACCAAAACACAAAAGAGAGAGAAAGGGACATCAAAACCAATCAAACAAACAAAACAAAAAGAGAGAAAAAAAAACCCCACCACCCTATAAAAGGCAGAAATCGCAAGTTCATACAATATACAATGCGAAATTATGAAAGAATCTTGCACTGCACCTAAGGGTGTTGCATAGAAGGGGCATACAAACTGAGCGTATAAGTGATGTGGAACTTTGGGTCACCTAAGTCAATGCACAACCTTCCTGCTCCTTGTGGATCAAACTCAGCAGTTAAGAATATGCCTCTGGTGTCTGCACAAGCAAAGTGACCAAAGGACATACATAGAGTCAGGTACCAGGGTAACCAAAAAACCTGAAGGGCATCCAAAGCAACAACAACAAAAAATAACAAGTGACCAAAAAAAAAAAAATCCAAGTCAAGGCAAGAACAAAGATCTTATCCAAAGCCTAGTTAAACAAGCAAAGCAACAAAAGCACAAAATGATGAGAAAGAAAATGAAAAAAATCAAAGGCAAAGCAATCAAAATGATGTTTGGCTCAAATCTCATTATTCTCTTGATTCATGAGACCCTGCAGCTCCCTGAAGCAGCCATTCCTTCCCCTTGCTAAGGATCAACAACACGTACAAACAAGAAATCTAATTCATTTTTCTATCTAGAAGTATTTTTAAAACAGCTTAGAGTATTTTGTCCCAGCAACATCCCCCAAATCCCCACTTTAAAATGTGATTCTATAATCCCGTTCTCCGCAGTAGGTTTTCCCCAGTGATTACAGAAAGGGTTTCTGGTTTTCATCTTATTTAACTAAACTTCATGTGTTAATTCTGTTTTCATGGGTATTCTGCTCATTTCCTCTGTTGTTAAAGATCCTGTGAGTAGCAACAATCTGGGAGGAAAATCTGGATGGATGTGTTACTTTAAAGATGATGCAGTGCTCTTGATGCTCTGTTCCTTTCAACATATTGGCTAGAGCAAAAGGAACAGACCCAAATAGATCTGTTTTAAAGAAATACACCATGTTCATTGAAAACAGTTGACTTGAGCAAAAATTCAAATAACACATTTGACATCTACTTTGTATCATCCACAATAGCTACATTGTTTCACCATTCCATTAAAAAAAAAAGGTACAACATTTAGCTGTATAAAGGATGTTTATCCATTATGCTTGTTCAAAAGGAAACCACTGAGATGGACAGGATATCGAACGCAGCAGATGAGAAACACAAACAGCATCCTGAACTACAAAGAAATGAGAGCCAAAAGAGAAGCACTCAGTTCCACTCATGAAGTTGCAGTGGCAGTCTGGAAAACAAGTACTCCCAGCACACTCTACCACCAAAAAAACATTTGATGCAGATCACAGGGGGAATTCAGAGCCACATGAAATATATTCACTTCATAACAGCAGCATGAGCAGTCACTGCCACCTTGCAGTGCCTAGTCACAGCAGACCCGCAGACGATGGACTCCAAAAAGCATGGGCTGACTTAACGTACATCACTTGCCTTTCAAACGCTCACCCAGAAGTTAATAAGGACAGATGCCTCTTTACACGTCTTGGGCAAGCTTAATTATCACAGTAAATCAACATCTGGCTTGGTGAGCTTGACTCTTTGCCATGCAGAGCTACCAGTGCACACAGCTTGATTTTTAAGTATAATTATGAATGGGAAAACCCGCATGCAAGATAAGCAGGGTCTCCCAGGGCTACAGTTGTTTGGGGACACTCTTGTTTCTTCCCATCTGTCTTGGCAAAGCTGCATAACTTCTGAAAACTGAGTCCACTGTTCTCTTTCCCACAGGCACCAAATTCTGCCTCCATCTATACAAACTCTTTTCCCAGGACAAATAATAAAAAATATCTGGCCTTCATTGTTTAACAATTTATTTTTTCAAAACAAATTCTCAACCAAGGCTACACACAGTTCACATATTTGGCATTCCTAATTTTTATTGCTGCCTTGCAGACCACTGTTTCCCATCATTTGCCCTTGTAAGCCCATGGTTTCCATCACAAATTACACAAACACCTAAAATAAAACACTTCATTCAGCATTCAGTGTAGTTTTTATTTTTTAAGTTTTTTTGATGCCTACTATCCTTTGTGTGTTGACTCAACTTTCTAGAACCTCATTCTCTGCTAAAACATGAGACTGAAATGTATGTATCCTCCTGCAGAAATACAGCTATGGCTTTCAGCTTGCCTGTACTTCTTTAATTCATGCTTGCCTATGCCTGAAGGCCTATTAAGACTTGAAGAGCTACCTCTAAATTTTTTTTTTAAATAAGAGTCCTTAAAAACAAGACTGACACTATAGGACTATATTTTGCAATATAAAATATTACAAAATTGCACAAATGTTGACTCAAAACAGCCAACACAGTGGCACAGCTGCTCAACTAGACATTTTTTTAAGTGACCAAAACTATGCAAAGCAGTAAGTGAAGACAGACCCACAAACTCATGTTCACTGATGGTTTAAGATGAGCTTACTAACATTAGCGCTATTATGTTTACTAAGGAACATATGGTAAAATATTAAACATTTTAATTGAGATTGCAAGCACGCTTATAGCCTATTGTTTAATTTTCCATCATATGAATGAAATGTTTAAATACCATACACAAACAAAACTTCAAAAAGGGAAGGGAGGAGGGAGGAAAAAGGACTCATAACCCAGTTCAAGAAATTTTAATAATATTTAAATAAAGTTTTAAAAGTCAGCATTCAAATGTCACTAGTAATCTAAATGAATTGCTCATTTTTTCCTTCTTCCAAACATCTATGTTCTTTCCATGTATTTTCTTCATGAACTTTGGAACCTCATGGAAATTTGGTATTGCCCATTAGCACTGTCTGGATATTTTTGAGAAACTTAGATGAATTAAAGACTATAAAAAGCAAGTCTACATTACTTAGACACTTTCTTACATGACAGATCATTTTCAACAGTGCAATATTAGCAGGTTCAAGCAAGAAAGTAGTTTTCTCTATTTCCAAAAAAAATACAATTAAGACTGACATTGGAAAAGGTATCTATATTTATCTCCTTTACTCACTGACAAGCCCTTCTGAAAGCTAAACTATTCATTTTATGCTCAAAGTGTGTTTAAAAAGCACTTGGTTTAACTGCATGTGCAAACTCTTTATATTATTTCTTGCACATACATCAAAACCATGCATGAAAGAAGGTCCTTGCTACCTACGTAATTGCTAGAGAATGAGGAAAGGTGGAAACAGAAATAGCAATTGCTGAATGTTACTCAGGTTTTACAACACTAGTAAGCAGTGATTTTTTTGGGAGGCAGAGCGAGTGAGAGAGAGATTAGTCTAGGTAGTGTTATTCATACTGTGAAAATTCTTCCAAGGAACCACAGTGCAACTTGAACAAAACCCCCTCCCAAATTTTGGGAAGTGTAGAGATGTCCAATAGATCCTAAGAACTGTCTAGACTTTTCTGTCTAAAATAACCATCACGCGAAGCACCCCAGAAGACATTCAATACGTTGCATTCATGCAAAAACATTAGGAGAGAGCTTACACTTACAGATCTGTACTGATACCAATCTCAGTCTGTTTCCAAGATTAAGAAAGTTATTTTGGGTAAGAATTGAGAGCAACTTTGAGGGAGTTAAGGGGGAAGTTTGGGCCTAAGCCGTAACTATAAGTTTAGTATTCAGAGAGAATTAGCATTTCTATTGTTGAGAGATGTCAGCCATTCGACATATCTTGCACCCTAAGAACTAGAGAAGTGTGTTTTATGAGTAGACTTGTTAAGCAGTTTCACACCTTTTGCTCTACTTGTGTTGGACACTACCAAAGAATTTACCTACCGTAAAGCAACAGTTAACTAATGTCTTACAGCCACAGGTCAAAAACCAGCTGACTCACCATTTCTTTTTCACTCCCACCATCCCACTCTTCCTCATTCTTTTCTCTTGTGATACCAGAGAGTCTACACAGAGTCTATATACTCCAACATGGTGGGGGCAGAGGAGGCAGAGAGCAAGGAAGATAGATAGGGCAAGAAACTGAGGAAAGACTGACTAGGGGAAACTAGAATGGCACAGGATTACTTTCTATTTGTTCAGGAACTTGAACAGATTCTCAGGATAGCTCATAAAATGTCAGAAGCTGACACGAGGAAGCAGGAGCACAAGCCACTTGAAGAGAGGAAGAACTCATAAGTACAAGACCTTTTCCTTCACGTAGCACTATCATAGGAATCATTGCTCAGTGTCAAAGATAATAAAGCCTTATTATTATGATCATGTTGGGTAATTCTAACAGACAGCACCTGGCATCTCAGTGTAAAACTGAGGTTCAACTACAGCTCTCATCCCACTGAGGGGCTCCCTTGGACCTTGGATAGCTGGTTAAGTAGGACTGCCAAAGCCTTTTTTGCCTCATCACCTTAAAACTGGCCTTCCCACCTAAGTTCACTCTTATTCTGGTCTCCAGGGTCTATTCAGTTGCCACTTTTAGTATTCCAAGGTTCCTTGCACACATCAGCTTCAATCCATCCTTCCCAAGCTTCAAAAGATCATCAGTTCTATGAGAATCTTTGACACACCTCACTGTACGTGCCATTATACTATCATTTATATTCCACATTATTTTATAACGGTTATTGTAATAGCTTCCTCCCATCATTTTCAAGAAAAAGCAGAAGGGAGTCAAGGCAGCAAATGAACACTAGCAAGAGAAAATAGCTACTTCATAAGCAGATGAATCAACCCCTGAGAAGGCAAATGAAAGTAAGGAGGGTCTGCAAGACAGCTCTGAAAAGCTGAAGTAGCTCAGTAGGACAGCTACAGGGTGAAAGGAAATATATTAAAAAATTCAAGAAGAAAACAAATATAACTTTATTTAATATAGAATGCAGTGGGAAGGTCATTACACTGTAACATCATAGATGCCATTCTCCTCCTGCAATATTACAAACAGAACCAGAGATGACTTTAACAAAGGAATTCAAAGGTTCTTTAAAAGGATGG